TCCTTAAACAGGGAGATGTAGAATTATTCTATGCACCCTCAATAATGGTCAGATGAAACTAGTACAAATGTCTCTGTAATACAGGCACTGGAGAAGCACATGCTCTGTTTCTGAGTGCCCAGAGCCATAGAGGCCAAATAAACAGTGAAAATGTCTGTAACCCTTTTCTTCCATTATCAGTAAGAGGGCTGGAAGAGTGTTAGAATTTATCTAATGCAGTCCTTTGTCCAGTTTATGAATCCACAACTACAGTTCATACACACTCACAATCTGTCTTAGGTTCTGTTTAAATAGCCCATCTGGAAGTCATAGTTGCTATCATGGTTAATTGCTCCTATGTATGCTGCAATTTGTAGTGGATTATCATATGTATTCTGAAGAAACGGTTTTGATTTCTCTGAAGTCTTCCAGTCAATTACACATAATGTTTCATTGTGAGATCAAATGTAGTCAATTAAAATTTGTGCTTATCACTGACCACCAAGAATTTAAAGTCTTAGATCATACCAGGCTAAATTTGAGGTCCCCCTGCTCAAGAAAGCACATGTACAGGTTCATCTGAAGTTTGCCAGTGAACATCTGAATGATTCAGAGAACTGGGTGAAAGTGTTTTGGTCAGTTGAGACCAAAATTGAGCTCTTTGGCATCAACTGTAGAGATAGGGGTCAGGTAGAGGTCGTGAGCAGTAAACTTCCCTTCCAAAGCCTGCATGCCTCTTCTCTCTCTACATGATCTCATTTTCTCTACATTCTCTCTACATGATCTCATCCGTTCACATTGCCATTGTGATGTAGGGAAATACCCCAGGCTGGTACATGATATCACCTGGTTCACATGATATCAGCTAGGTTACATCAACAGGATATTGCAGCAAACTGCTCCCTGTCTGGGGCCTCCTGGATGGTATATTCTTAAGGATTGGCAAGGAGTTGGCAAGGAGTTTAACCAATAAAATGCTGTTGCTACGCTGTTGCCATGTTAAACTTTTGCTGCTTGGAAAACTGAATAAAAAGCAATAAAGACTGAGAGGGAGAAATTCCTCTTTGCACCCTGCAATGACTGGTCACTGATTCCATCAGCTGGCGGCCCAAACAGGGACATTTGGGACCCCTCTCACCCGTGGATGAGCAACAGCCAACATACTTACCAGTGTCTGGAACAGACCCCTAAGTGCACTTTCGTCCTCTGGGACCCCTCAGTGGTAAGTATGGGTTGCAATCTATCTCAGCACCAGCAGAAACATGTACAGGAACTCAGATTCCTGCTACATAAATCAGGCGTGACAGCGCCTGAGGCAGACATAAGGAAGCTGGTGGAGGAGGTAGGGAAACACTGCCCTTGGTATCCTGAGCGCGGGACGCTTGGGTTACGAGATTGGGAAAAGATAGAGCATACTTTACATCTTGAACCTCGGGCTCCAGTACAGATATTACATCGATGGTATCAGTGCCGTCAAGCAGTGGAAAAATTTGGCTCCGATGCTTCAGAAGGGCAGCAATTAACTACCAGCCCCCCTCCTGGTTACAACCAAGTAAAACCTATCCCTCCTAAAGCATCTTTAATTGGATCTCCAGCTCCTTCTGCAGAGGCTAATTCTTTTGCTTCTTCCCAGCCATCACACACCCCCATAAGGAAAATATTAGAGGAACAATCTTGAAGTAGAAAAAAATAATATGAGGAATTGTCAGAGTAATTTAAAGAAACAAATTAAATCAAAATGTACTCCTCTGCAATGTGTTTTGAACAATTGGGATGTTTTGAAACTTCAGGTGGCTGTTAAGTTTAACCCTGTCAGACAATGTCTGGTGGTGCTTTGTGTTGATGTGTAGTGTGTTTTGTTTATGTATATATGTGTGTGTGTGTGTGTGTGTGTGTGGCCACCCAGAACATTACGCTTGGGCTTGGAATGGTGAGAAAAATAGGAGATGGTTAAAGGGCCCTATAAAAACCATGTTTGGTTGGAATCACCTCATGATTTTTCTCACTTCTTGCAGGACAAGCCATGTGTCTAAATAAATGTTGTTTTAATAGTATTTGTGTATATATGTTTTTCTGTGTTCTGTGTTATTTCCAAGACTTGGAAGAGGGTCAAAACCCTCTCTGATAACAACACACAAAAAGGCCTTATTTAAAAATAAATGGTTTGCCTGGAGAAAGTATGAAATGAAATATTTGTATGTGGAATTGTTTATGCAAGCAGTTAGAATGGAAGTGAATGAGTTAATTTGCTGATATCTAAGTGTGTGTGTTAGCCCTCAAACCCCACCCCCCACCCACTCCCAGGCTGTGAAAGAAATAGTAAACTGCAGATTTTATTGTTGTAAGAGTAAATTGAAAAGCAATAGTAAGTGTTTGCATGAGAAGAGTCCCATGGAGGATGTGTGAGAGAATTTATGGAAAATGCATATGAAAGAGAGAAAACTATTTTTTAGTGGTGAGATTTTTGTAAAGTTTCTTTTTCTTTTTTTTCCTCCTGTCTCTTTCGTTTCTCCGCTGGCTGTGTTGCTTTAAGAGTGAGAGAGACAGAAAGAAGAGGGGGGGCTGCTCGTTTTAAAAAAAAATTTCTCTGCTTAGAATTCCGGTTTGAGAATGGGGTGGATGTGAAATTTGATGCCCACTCTTGCAGTTTCAGCTTGCAATTTTTTACTCCAAAAAGGAGACAGTAATTGTTGGACAATTTTTTTTGGGGGGGGGAATTGTTGAGTTTAAATTGTTTAGTTAGACCTATATATCCATCAACCAAAAGAAATGACTCTGAATTGTTTTGCTTAGATTTGTAAATGTTTAACCTATTTACTGGAAATTTGTTTCCATCTGAATGGAATTTGATTAAATTGGAATTTGACTTATTGACCAAAGGAACACAACCTGGAAATCTCATTGTAGTTCCACCTACAGCACTTGCCACGGTTGAGCAAATTAATGACATCTTGAGTACTTAATTTGTGGACAGAATTCCACATAAAAATTGTCAGTTAACATTTTTGATATTTCCTACTAGTAAGCTACTTACAGGAGTATTAGCTGTGTTAGAAACGCAAAAAGTATATTGTATTGAATGGCTTTACTTACCCCACACCCCATCCCAAAATGTTTTATCTTTTATCCAGGCTATTGCTGAAATAATAACCTTGGGATGCACTCGAGCTTGTCGTCGAAATGGGACTGATTTAATTAATATTGTTCTTCCTATCTCAAAATCGGATTTTCAATTTTATTTTCAGAATAACTTATCTCTTCAGTGCCCTTTAACTGACTATATAGGCTCTATTTCATATCATCTGCCTAAAGATCCTCGACTTGCTTGTTTAATGACTTCTTCCTTTCCTGTCCGCCCACTGCTTTCTCGTTCTCCCTTGCCACAAGCTCCTACTGTTTTTTCCGATGGAGGACGAACGAGAGGAGCAATTGCTTACAAGGATCCTCATGATGATACCTGGAAAGTGTCCTACACTGCAATACAATCCTCACCACAACGCTCAGAATTAGCTGCTGCTATTTTGGCTTTTCACACCTTTTCTCAACAGCCTTTTAACTTAATCTCTGACTCTCATTATGTGTGCCAACTTATTTTTAATCTTCCAGGTGCTTATATCACGCCCAGGATCGGCCCCAATCTTATGGCTTTGTTTTTAACTTTACAGCAGCTGCTACAAGACCGAAAGCATTTATATTTTGCTTCTCATATACGTAGTCACTCCCTCCTTCCTGGGCCTCTTTCTGAAGGCAACAGTCAGGAGATGCCGCAGTTCATGTTTTCCCCACGTTATTTTCAGATCCTTTTTTCATTCATTCTTTCATCAAAATGCTAGGGGGCTGGCACAAGCTTGTCATATTCCAATCGACCAAGCCAAGCAGATTATTTCATCCTGTTCCCAATGTTTGGGGGTATCTCCTTCGGGGGACACGGGAGTTAATCCCTGTGGTTTTGCCTCTAATCAACTATGGCAAATGGATGTTACCCATCTTCCCTCTTTAGCTCCCTGGAAATATATTCATTTATCTATTGATACCTATTCAGAAGCAATTTGGGCCACGCCTCAACGAGGGGAAACAGCTGCACATGTTATTTCTCATCTTTTTTTGGCCATTACAGCCTTGGGTAAGCCCTCTTCCTTAAAAACTGATAATGGGCCAGCCTATTCTTCAGTGGCCTTTTTGCACTTTTGTACAACCTGGAATATCGTTCTTACTCATGGTCTTCCCTATAATTCCATGGGTCAAGCCATCGTGGAATGTGCTAATCGTCGAACCGTTCTCGACGTGGGGTCACGCTACATAGATAGCACTTGTGACTCTGAGACAGCCTTACTTAATAAAGCAGAATATGTAGCGTGGCTGTGTCTCTAGTGGGTGTGCCAGGACTTGCTGTTCAATGTGCAATGACTGGTCACTGATTCCATCAATCAACTCAACTCGGTGTGTTTGGAGGAGGAGGAATGCTGCCTGTGACCCCAAAAACACCTTCCCCAATGTCAAACATGGAGGTGGAAACATGTTTTGGGGGTGTTTTTCTCCTAAGAGGACAGGACAACTTCACCGCATCAAAGGGACGATGGAGGGGCCATGTACCATCAAATCTTGGATGAGAACTTCCTTCCCTCAGCCAGGGTATTGAAAATGGGTCGTGGATGGGTATTCCAACATGGCAATGACCCAAAACACATGGCCAAGGCAACAAAGGAGTGGCTCAAGAAGAAGCACATTAAGGTCCTAGAGTGGCCTAGCCAGTCCTTAATCCCATAGAAAATCTGTGGAGGGAGCTGAAGGTTCAAGCTGTCAAACGTCACTTTAAAAAGGGCAATTGGGTTGCTATGTCCTATAAAATCATCATATGTAAGGATCTTTACAAAGTGTAATGCTGAATTTCTATTATCACTCTATAAAAGTATAAATAATCAGATTCAATCTGAAAGATTTGTTCTTAATCCTTGTGCAAAATGGCCTCTAATTGTACCAGAGTAACAACTTTATATATCTTTTTTTTCCTTGTTTTTTAGATACTTTTCAAAAAGGCAAGAACTTTCATGCAGCCATGGAAGCCTTACTGTTAACTAAAGGAAATTTTATAAAGGAACAGAAAGAAGATACCAGCATTTCAAACTATGTAATGAGTGTAAAGCATGTGCTGCAAAATATCACTGGAGTGAGAGCTCTTGAAAGTACAGTACAGCATGAGGCCCTTTATTACCAAGGCCTAGTGGATTGCATAGCAGACTATCGGTGAGAGGTTAAATTTAGATAATATTGTCTGTGATCTTGTTAAACATTTTTGGGGGCTAAAAAAGTATTCAGGGCATGTTTCACTTTCCCATTCAAAACAATGACTTTTATGCTTAACTTCATCTGCTTCATACCAAATATTTCTAAAATCAATTTTAGGTTTATATTTCCCTTACACTCAAAAATAAGATAAAGCATGTTTTAAAATTTGTTCTTTTCTTATCATTGTAAACTAGGAACTATGTATCATTGTTTCCATTTGTAAGTAAAAAATTGAAGTGGAGAAATACTTTCAGTCTTCCAATATTCTGTTAATGTAACCTTACAATAAAAATAGAGCTAGTACTTCTGGTTGTACTTCTTGCCTGGACTACATCTCAGAGTTAACATCTATTTGGACTTTACTGTGGCATCTTCATAAATGTCTTATATAATGGAATAGAAGGCATGTGGATAAAATGTGCAGACAACACAAGAGGTTTTTTTGGGGGAAGTATTGCTAATACTCTGAAGATAGGCTCAAGTTAGGCACGTGACATTTGTTCATAAATGTGCATGTTGGTTGGAAAATGAACTTTTTATTACTGATTATTACCATTGTATCTTCTACATTTGATCTCACAGTGGAACATTATGTGTAATTGACTGGAAGACTTCAGAGAAACCAAAGCCATTTCTTCAGAATACATATGATAATCCACTACAAATTGCAGCATACATAGGAGCAATTAACCATGATAGCAACTATGACTTCCAGGTAAGTGACAGTTGTAAAGAAACATCTCAGTTCAGCACTTGCTGATTTCTTGCTCACACATTTAACTACAACTGAATATATTTCTCTGCATAATATTCCAGTTCCAATATTCCAGTCTTACTAAATAGTAGCCACTATCTATAAGTAATGTAGGTTGATTGTGCTTTGTCACTCCTAGCAGCAATATCACGAAGAAGACAAAACTTCAAATAGAAACAAGTAAGCAGTTTTAACACTCTTTTGACCTGTGCCTATGGCATCTTCATTTATATTAATCCATTATGAAAAGGTGTCTTATCAGAATTGTCATAATAAAAGTCAATCTATGAACAGTTATGGAGTAAAATATTAAAAAAAAATTCATGATGTAAAAATACAGCTTTCTAGACCAAAAATATTGCAGATCTCAACATTGTCAACAACTGAGCTACTCTGGAAAACTTGCGAACAAAATTTTGAACACAATTGTCAAACTTTTTAAAAGTAGGTTATGATCTTTCAGACAAAGTAGATGATTGACTAAATTTAATAGGTACCTAGTAATAGCTTTTGATATTGTGGGAAATAGCACACAAGGCTCATGCTTCTATAAAGGGAATTCTGCAGACAGTGGTATTTTGCACAAAAACCCTATACACTCTTACACTCTCTACAAAATGCCTTGATTATTGGAAACATTATTGCATTTTTACAGTAAACCATGATCTTATCTCAGATCTATATAATTATATTTTGTCGACTCCGGACAAAAAAATATTTTGGAGCTGAGCTAAATGCTGTTCATCTGTACCCATTCCTACTATTTAGTAAGCATTTCAGCTGTATATCCATAATGAACATTAACTAAAATTGCATATGGTTTGATGAGCAATTGATTGTTTTGTTTCCTAGGTTAATTGTGGATTACTCGTGGTTGCCTATAAAGATGGTTCTCCTGCACATTCACATTTTATGAGCTTTGAGCTGTGCTCTAAGTACTGGAACAAGTGGCTGCTTCGCTTGGAAGAGTTTAAAGAGAAAGGGAAGAATAATACTGTATAAAGCAAGTAGTTTGAAGTAAATTGTATTTAATTCCATTGCTTTTCTTTCCTTCTATTTTGGGGGCTGGGGTGGTAAGGAGCAATTTTAACTAGCTGGTAGACAAATGTTCCTGGAGGGAAAATAAACTTTGCCATCCACCTGTTTGCTGATTCTCCACTGCAAATACCCTTTGTTCTTGCCTCTGGCATAATAATCCATGTTTTTAGAGTATTTTTTGAAATGATTTTCATATCCAATGCCCATTATAGCTGATTGAAAGCAGAAGTTCTTGCCTGTCACACTGATAGCTATTATGAGACAAATTCTTTATGCAATATAGTACTCTGCTCAAGAAATGGTACCATTTATGTTCTTCATGCTAAAAGGAAAACTGACTATTCTCCCTTCATTTTTTTGATTCTTGCTTCTGCATCTTTCCTTCCAGATCTGTCTGAAGCAAATAGACTTCAGTAACCAAATAGTTTGATCATAAAGTTTACTGACATTCCAGAACAAAATAAAAATTTGGTTTCTACTATATAAGATGAGTAGGCAAGTTGGTTACAAAGTGTTAACCCTCGAAACCCAGTCTTGCTGATGCGATGGACATTGCTTCTCAGTTTGCCAACAAGCTCTGGGGGAGGAGAGAGGTTTGGAATACAGACTTCAAAGATTAAGGAAGCAGACAGTGGGAACCAAGGACAATTGCCAGGTGTCTGGCCAGGTCCAGAGATGCTTTCTCACAACAATATTTTTCAACTTGATTGGGCAACATGATCTGACCCAGAGGGAGGAGGAAGAAGTCAATGCTTTTACTATAGTGATTTGGGTGGGGTCTTGTCAGAGCGGGTTTTACTTTCATTTGTGCCAATATGGTGTACTCAATAAAGTTTTGCATTAAGAGCATGAAAATTCTTGAAGGTGTTTGCTTAATTGGGTTCACTAGTTGGAATCTTGACAGTAAGGAGAAAGAAAAAAAGACAACCAAAAAAAGGTATTGTTTTTGCAATTGCCTGTTCCAAAATTTTGTGTCAGGGGAAGTACAAAAAAAAAGTTAAGAATTTAAGAAAATAATTATCCAATTCATTTTATATTTCTTTATTTTATTACTTCTGGATTTATATAATATATTATTTGTTGTATATCAAAAAAGCTTAAATGAAAATAGGTTCATGTAAATAACAGTTGTAGAGAATTTCCTTTGGGAAAATATGTTTCTTTCTGATAGGGAAATTACGTATTTCCAATAAAGTAAGACTATAAAACTGTGGGACAGGAATAACTCCAAAGCTAATTTCTGCCATGAATATTTAAATTTTAGGTTGGGTTCATGCAATACATTAGAATAGGTTAAATATGATTCAGCTTATTAGGGAACCAACCAATTGTCTTCTTTGTTGTATGGACCATGCCATCACATGAATGCCAAGCATGCATAATAAGCTTCCTTTCTTTGGACACGACATATATTGGTTGCAGAAATCATGTGTTGTTAACCTGGGTTTAATATGTTGTGATAAGTAAGACTTTATGTATTTATCCAGTATTATCAATTGCATGATTATAGATCCTCATTTTTTCTAGGGATTCTCTCTGTTGGAGTTGTCACTTTGTTTTGCAAAACAGCTATGAGCTTTTTTTGAATTTTTTTTCAGAAAAGCACTTCCAGGATGAACATTACTGATATGCACACACAAGTCCTCTTGGGTTGGGCCTGTGTAACCACAATCTTCACAAACGTACAGTTTATCTCTCCGTTGCTTGTAAGCATAGCGTTGCTGTACCCCATGGATTTTTTTAAGATGTGATTCCAGAGAACAACGTTGAGTAAAGGCTTTGTTGCAGATCTCACATTTGTATGGGCGAATTCCTACAATGTAACATTAGGGGTGTTAGAAAAAAAGATTTTATAAAGAATGATTGGCAATTATAGAAATACATAATTTACAAATATGACATTAGAAGGAGCAATCTGTATCCATTTTACTTTATACATTCTTTTGCAAATACTAAACTGTGTCTGCTGATGGCAAAAAAGTGAAGAAAAAGAAAAAGAAAATGATGGTTTTGCTTACTTCTAATATGGCCACTTTTAGCATGCCATCCTCAATAGATTAAATTTGACAGGAAAAGTGGGCTATTATTATCACAAACATACTGTATTAACTCCACATGCTAGCTAATGGTTAGCAAAATCATGATTTTGAATTCATTTGATTTGCTTGCTTATATAAATCACACCATCTGAATTACAAATTAATCAGCAATTTTTCAATTTTCCATCCCATATGAAGACATTAACTTTGTGGATTATATGTAGATTGCAATTTTATGAATACATAAGAAAAAGGCAGACTGCGAAAGAACAAAGTTCAGTCTTGGATTTATTTTTAGCTATTTTGTTTGCCTTAGGGTAGAAAATAGACACTTGAAAGTGCTTATATAATAGAAGGAAATATTGTATTTGAGAAAAGTAGAGGACAGGTTGCTGTTTTCTTGATGCAGAATTTATATAATCTAATGCTGCCTATTATAGTACTAACAAAGGTAAAACCTCAAAAGGTAAGATTTTCACTTTAGATTGCTCTTTATATTCTGCAATTCTGTACAATCGTGGATGGATGGGGAACAGGATAGCATATATAGAATTCTGCTTCCCAGAAAGCTTAATTTTGAAATGCTTTTCATTTTTTGAAGTAAATTTATAACTGAGAAATCCATATCTGACTCCCAGGCTCTGGAAGAAAGTAGTGGACGATGTAAATATGATTGTGCAATAAAAGCTAACATTTTCAGAAGATAACATTCTCTTGCATGGCATAACTAGCAGATGGAATTTGACACTGGACAATGTACAGTGAGGGGAAAAATTATTTGATCCTCTGCTGATTTTATATGTTTGCCTACTGACAAAGAAATGATTGGTCTATAATTTTAATGGTAGGTTTATTTTAACAGTGAGAGACAGAATAACAACAAAAAAATCCAGAAAAACGCATTTCAAAAAAGTTATAAATTAATTTGCATTTTAATGAGTGAAATAAGTATTTGATCCCCTATCAATCAGCAAGATTTCTGGCTCCCAGGTGTCTTTTATACAGGTAACAAGCTGAGATTAGGAGCACTCTCTTAAAGGGAGTGCTCCTAATCTCAGCTTGTTACCTGTATAAAAGACACCTGTCCACAGAAGCAATCAGTCAATCATATTCCAAACTCTCCACCATGGCCAAGACCAAAGAGCTATTCAACGATGTCAGGGACAAGATTGTAGACCTACACAAGGCTGGAATGGGCTACAAGACTATCACCAAGCAGCTTGGTGAGAAGGTGACAACAGTTGGTATGATTATTCGCAAATGGAAGAAACACAAAATAACTGTCAATCTCCCTCGGTCTGGGGCTCCATGCAAGATCTCACCTCATTGAGTTTCAATGATAATGAGAACAATGAGGAATCAGCCCAGAACTACACGGGAGGATCTTGTCAATGATCTCCAGGCAGCTGGGACCATAGTCACCAAGAAAACAATTGGTAATACACTATGCCGTGAAGGACTGAAATCCTGCTGCACCCGCAAAGTCCCCCTGCTCAAGAAAGCACATGTACAGGCCCGTCCAAAGTTTGCCAATGAACATCTGAATGATTCAGAGGAGAACTGGGAGTAAGTGTTGTAGTCAGATGAGACCAAAATTGAACTCTTTGGCATCAACTGAACTCCATGTGTTTGGAGGAGGAGGAATGCTGCCTGTGACCCCAAAAACATCATCCCCACCATCAAACATGGAGGTGGAAACATTATGCTTTGGGGGTGTTTTTCTGCTAAGGGGACAGGACAACTTCACTGCATCAAAGGGACGATGGACAGGGCCATGTATTGTCAAATCTTGGGTGAAAACCTTTCCTCAGCCAGGGCATTGAAAATGGGTCATGGATGGGTATTCCAGCATGGCAATGACCCAAAACACACGGCCAAGGCAACAAAGGAGTGGCTCAAGAAGAAGTACATTAAGGTCCTGGAGTGGCCTAGCCAGTCTCCAGACCTTAATTCCATAGAAAATCTGTGGAGGGAGCTGAAGGTTCGAGCTGCCAAATGTCAGCCTTGAAACCTTCATGACTTCGAGAGGATCTACAAAGAGGAGTGGGACAAAATCCCTCCTGAGATGTGTGCAAACCTGGTGGCCAACTACAAGAAACGTCTGACCTCTGTGATTGCCAACAAGGGTTTTGCTACCAAGTACTAATCATGTTTTGCAAAGGGGTCAAATACTTATTTCACTCATTCAAATGCAAATCAATTTATAACTTTTTTGAAATGCGTATTTTTGTGATTCTGTCTCTCACTGTTAAACCTACGATTAAAATTATAGACTGATCATTTCTTTGTCAGTGGGCAAATGTACAAAATCAGCAGTGGATCAAATAATTTTTCCCTACTGTAAATGGTTTCTCTGTGCCTTATTATGGCTTAAAAGACTGATATTGCAGCATTGGGAAGCTAAATGTGGGTCCCATTCACTCAGTGGATTGAAGACCTGAGTTCCCTTGCCACTTAAGAGCAGATTGCCTATAGACATAGACTTTTATGGACAACTATAATGAAATATAGTACAAAATACAATAGTTTAAAAACATAATAGTTTATAAGTGTATTAGAAATAAATGTGTATGTACATACAGTATATACCATTTGCATTAGATTATATACAGAATTGTAACTGTATCCTGTTATAAGAGATAATATAGTGATTCTTTTTTCACTTTTTCTGTTTTTTCACTTCTTTTGTTAAAAACACTTTGTATGCTTTTTTATTTGACAATGTATGAATTTCTATCACAATTATGTTTATGTTTTGTACCTTTCCCTTTTCTTTTGTCATAACTTTAAAAGCAATGAAAATGGTTAAGAAATCCGGGAAAGATGAAACATGCCTATTTATGAGACAGCCATCAGCTGTATGGGTGAATAATAGGAGTTTGCGGCATTAATTAACTCCATAGCTCACTTGAGGCACAGAACAAATATTAGGTAACATAGTAAATATTGCAGGCACAGATAAGAAAGATATCGATGATTGACACAAAAATTCACAGAATTTAACTTTTGACACAGATTTTGAATTGTCTATATACAAAGTTTTCATATTTTAGTGAATTTTTCCTGCCCAAATCTGAAAAGAAAATGTTCCAAGTTTAAGATCAAATAGCCCCACTGGAATTGTTCTAAGTACCCTGTTTTTCAACTGAGCAAAACTCAAGATCTCTTGAATGAAGTAATAGCATAAAAATTAAGAATGCTTTTCATGTTTTGATATAGAGAATAATGACACCTAGAAACAAATACATTTATCCCTGATTTTTCATTCTAGGTTCACAAAATTAAGTGGAACAGACATGCTGGGTGCTATTAATCACCAAAGCCACAGAGGAAAAAGGCCAAATGCTGTATACATATACAGTAGATGGACATATAAAAATAGTCTTCAAGTTATGATGCCAATTGGGACTAGAATTGCCATCACTAAGCAATATAATTGTAAAGCACAATGTCATGTGACTGCTTTGCTTAGCAGTGACATTCCCAGAAGTCCTAGCTGCTGTTGTAGTCCTTAAGTGGGAAGAGTCCCAGGTAAGAAGCTTGGGATCTGGGTATGTGTATGAGGGAGACTGGAGGAGACCTTGGGAAGGCTGGCACAGGCCACACGAGTTGGAGGAAGCTGAAGCAGGGCTGGTGCTAGGTGGGGAGAGCCTGCGCAGGCCACACACAAGTTGGAAGAAGGCCAGTGCTGACTGTGTGTGAGTTGGGCAAGCCCTGAGATGGCTTGGGTAGACCATGGAGGAGTACCAGTATAGGCCATATGTGAGTCAGGGAAGTTCCTGGATAGCTGGCGCAGGCTGCGCACCAATCAGAAGAACTGGGAGGGCTGGTAGAGACCATGTGCAGGTAGCGGGGGTGCTGCAGGCGAGAGAAAACATGGGAGTGACTTACCAGAGTGACTTGCAGCCTTCTGTACCAACTTCCCCATGGGGGAAGCTTATGGAAAGCTGGCAGGGAAGACTGCAAATGGCAATCACGTGACTGCAGTTCTCTGCAACATCATCACTGTGAATAAGGCACCTGAGTATGTAGATCACAATCGTGACCACGGGTGCTGTGATGGCAGGAACTTCAAGGACCAATCGAATGTCCATTTTTTCAGCGTTGTCATAACTATGAACAGTCACTGAACGAATGGATGTAAGCTGAGGACTACTACACAGGAAATAATAGAAGCAACAATTAGGCATAATTTTGCAGCCTCTGCCTACATAGAAAAACAGGCGTAATATTGAGCCCACGAAAAGAAGGAAGTATATTTATTCTAAAATGGTTTGTGAAAAACAAACAGCAAAAAGAATTATTCTCACTGTTGTCTGAGGTTTTGTGGAAAGCAATTGTTTTTGCATTTAACTATCAATGTGAACTACTAATATAAATTACTAAACAATTGCCTTTACTTGATATGCTAGTAAGACAATGCTAAAAATTTTGTAATCCAAACTTCAATAACATTAATCAAGAATTGCCAGATATAAAAGCTGGGTTCAAAAGGGACAAGGGCACACACAATCACAATGCTAACATCTAATGCATAACACCAAAGGTAAGGGAATTCTAAAATGACATCTATTTTGTAGAAAGGCTTTTGATTGTGACCTATCTTTTAAAACAGGTGTAATTGGTCACCTGTACAATTACTACAAAATAGTAATTGGTTCAGAATTAGAAAAGGATATTGCTAGACTTGTGTACTATCACTTCCTTTAAGTTGTATACAGAAAATGCTGTGAGAAATGTTTGTCTAGAAGAAATAGAAATTGGAATTTCTGCTAGAAATATTAACAGTCTGAGATATGCTGATAATGCCACTGATGGTTGGAAATTAGAAGACCTAGGAAATCTCATTTTGAAGGTGTAAAGAAGAGTACAAAAGCAAAGGTCTGCTCCTCAGTATTTTAAAAAATTATTGTCAACCCAATGCAAAAAGAGCAAAAAATAATATTAGATTTTTTTTATCTTCCTGAGTTTATTAACTTATACTGATGGTGATCGTAGCCCTGAATTAAACAGATACCTGCTATTTAGGAGAATGATATGATAGAGCTAGACAAAATATTGACATGTAGCAACCTCAACATTATCAAGGCTATCTTATGAAAGAAGAAAATTGATGCTTTTGAAAGGTGATGCTGGAAATGACTGAAAATGCCTGGGGTTACTAGAAGAAATTCAGCAATAGACTTATCATTGGGAGCACTAATAATAAAACTAAAGCTTACACATTTGGGACATAAAATGCAAAACTAAAGGTCATTAAATAAAAGTTGGGAGCTTGGAAAAATTAAAATCAATTGAAGAAGCCAACAGAAGACAATTCCTGGATACTTTTATTGATAATACATGAGTTACAAGAATTCAAAATTTATCCTGAACTACAAAATTGTCCCCTTAGATTTTGAACATATGGACAGAGCAGTCTTTTTACTCAAATTATTCTCAGCTAGCAGTAGTTGGAAATAGAGAACATAGAAAATGGTCATGAAGGACAGAGGGAAGATCTGTTACCAAAGCAATGATCAGAAAAAACATTGTTTGAGCCTAGACCAGGGGTGTCATCATACCGAAACAGTGCCCACCCCATTGCCGGCAATGCAAAAAGAGTCGTGATAACATCACGACACATGATGTGGTGAGTTTGACACCTGTGGCCTAGACCAAATAAAATGCCTCAGATAGCCCTCCCCCTATTCATGTGAAGTCAAAAGAGGGAGGAGAGAAAGTATATTCAAACTTGCAAGATTCTATTACAAAAGCTGTTCTAATAAAAGTACCTTTAGGCCTATGCAATGTTTGCTTTTAGTTTGGTCTACTTTACAGGGATGATAATGAAACCCATTCTTGCTGTTTTATTGGCTATCACAAAGCTTTTTTTCTTTTTAAAAAATAAGGCTAAATAATATCACCGATACAAGACATTCAAAGCCCAGTCCATTTCTTGCAAACATCTTTCATTAAATATTTCTTCCTACCTGTATGTGTCCTTACATGTCTTTTCAGATCAAAGGTGTCATTAAAGCCTTTCCCACAGAAAGTGCACAAATGTCTCTTCACTTCACTATGACATTTTATATGACGGTTGAGCATACGTTGCAAGCGAAATCCTTTGCCACACAATCCACAATTGTGTATTAAGGGATCATCATAGGTGCCAGTGGTGAACTGTGAAAACGAAATAAATTACAATATTGGACTAAAAGAATGAATGAGATAATGAGGTTCTCAGGTATATGCTTTCAAATCAAGCTAGATTGTGGTGACTCCACCAGGTCATTTCTGTCATTGTGTTTTGCCATTGCCTTCTTCCAAAGAAGAATAGAATAGAATAGAATAGAATAGAATAGAATAGAATAGAGCTGGAGGGGACCTTGGAGATCTTCTAGTCCAGCGAAATGCTGTGGACATAGTATACTTAGACTTCAGCAAGGCATTTGACAAAGTAGACCACAACCTGCTTCTTGGTAAGCTAGAAAAAGGTGCGATAGACAACACCACCGTCAGATGGATCTGTAGCTGGCTGACAAATTGTCCTCGGTGAGTAGTCCTCAATGGTACTACATCCACATGGAGAGAAGTAAGCAGTGGGATACCACAAGGCTCTGTCTTAGGCCCAGTACTCTTCAATATCTTCATTAATGACTTAGATGAAGGAATAGAAGGGGAACTCATCAAATTTGCAGATGACACCAAACTGGCAGGAATAGCCAATACCCCAGAAGACAAGCTCAGGATCCAAAAAGATATTGACAAACTTGAACAATAGGCCCTATCCAACAAAATGAGTTTTAAGCAAAGTTTAAATGAGAAAAGCAAAGTTTTACATTTAGGCAGGAAAAACTAAAGGTACAAGTACAGATTAGGCAAGACCTGGCTCAAAAACAGTAACTGTGAGAGGGACCTTGGAGTCCTAGTGGACAATCATTTGACTATGAGCCAGCAGTGTGCAGCAGCCCGCCAAAAAAGCTAATACAATCCTGGGTTGTATAAACAGAGGCATAGAATCAAGATCACGCAAAGTATTAGTACCGCTTTGTAAAACCCTAGTGAGACCATGCCTGGAATACTGCGACCAATTTTGGTCACCATACTACAAAAAAGATGTTGAGACCTTGGAAAAAGTTCAGAGAAGAGCAACTAAAATGATCCAAGGCCTGGAGACTAAAACATATGAAAAATGGCTGCAGGACTTGGGTTTGGCTAGTCTAAAGAAAAGAAGAAATAGGGGTGACATGATAGCAATATTCCAGTATTTGAGGGGCTGCCACAAAGAAGAAGGGGTCAAACTATTTCCAAAGCACCAGAGGGCAAGACAAGAAACAATGGTTGGAAATTGATCAAAGAGAGAAGCAACCTGGAATTAAGGAGAAACTTCCTGACAGTGAGGACAATTAACCAGTGGAACAGCTTGCCTTCAGAAATCGTGGGAGCTCCATCACTGGAGATTTTAAAGAAGAGACTAGACAGTCACTTGTGTGAAAAGGTATAGGTTCTCTTGCTCGAGCAGGGGGCTGGACTAGAGGACCTCCAAGGTCCCTTCCAGCTCTATTCTATTCTTCCAAAAGATATTTTTTTTACAACACTCAACGATGAAATTTTCAGCTATCCTCCATCCAAGGAGGTGTAACCTTGCTCATTTTCTTGAGATCAGCAAAGGTCAACTGCTCAGTGTTTAAATCACAGTTGATAAAACAAAAGCAAAACAAAAAAGCAAAGTTTAGTTACTGTGTTTTACTAAATACCAGAAAAAAGAAAAATAAAGCAAAATAATACAATTTTAATGATGTTGATGAAATGATGGTAATAAAAATAAAAATACTGACAGCAACAAATTCAAATGTAAAATAATTCTTTAATGTTGAATAAACTATATGATCCGGTATTTTACCAGCTTCTTCTAATGAAGCATATATTATTATAATTGCTCAGTCAAATAAAGATCATAGATACTGAATAAATTAGAAGAAACATATTTATTAATAACACCAGATGCTATATGGATCAGAATTTGTTGAAAGAATTGGGCATGTTCTAGCATAATGAATTTTATACACTAATATGCCATAAATCTATCATATACTTTCAAAAATATACAGGCATCCAGATGAATTCCTTCATAGCTACTGCTAAAATGTTGCAAAATTCTGCATAGAGGCATGTAAATAGTAAACACAGCAAAGGAAGGGAAACCAACTAAATTGGAAATTGATCTCTCAAGTTGTAGTATAAGATTTTGGCTTCCATGGATGTGGCAAACACCCATGCAATTGCAGACAAGAGGAAGTCATAGTGCAAGTGATTGCATGTAAGGATTGCAGAAATATTAGGGAAGAAATGCACCCTGAGGAGGGACCTGATATGGAGGAGAGGTAAGGCACTGGGAAAGTGCTGATATAGATGATGAAGCAGTGCATTTGCAAAGAGGCTTTGACACATTTTGGCTGGCATGTCACAAGTGCAATCTTATCCCAGTTTTATTTCAAGCATGCTCATATCTATGCAAGCTGGATTTTCTAAACTGGAGACTTTAAGTGAACATACAGTACTGGTGTTCATATCATACTCAGTGTAGCCTTTAACAGCTCATCCCTAAATAATTTCAACTCCCTCCCTTTTTCTCTCTTTCATTTTTTATCTTATTTTTCAGATAATTAATACAATTTGACCTTCGGATTATGGCTGTTCTAAATTACTAACAAAAAGTCAAGTGGAAAGAAATTGGAAGAATACTTAGTTTTTGAGTTTAGACAGATGGAAGGCTAGAAAAACAAGAGAATAAGAGTTCTCTGCTAAAATTTGGATGATAGAATCATTTGGAAGAAGAAGAAGAAGAAGAAGAAGAAGAAGAAGAAGAAGAAGAAGAAGAAGAAGAAGAAGAAGAAGAAGAAGAAGAAGAAGAAGAAGAAGAAGAAGAAGAAGAAGAAGAAGAAGAAGAAGAAGAAGAAGAAGAAGAGATAGCATTGCATTCTAAGAAGTTTAGAGCTTTGACACATAGTGATCTAAGCTGTATAAAGTATAAGTAGAATATAAGCTGTATGAAGTATATGTAGAATATTAATATATTCCTTCTGCGGCAACAGATAGTATTGTCTATCACTATAAAATTTTGAGAATTTCCTTGGGCTGGGATTTCATATTTCTTTGAGACCTGTCACTCTACCCACATCTCCAACTTTTGATTCTCTTTCTCTTCAGCAAAACCCTCAGGAATTTAAACTGGAAATTTGTTGTGCTATATAACTATGGTGACTATATTTTATTGGAAAAATTAAATGACAAATCTGAAAGAGATTCAGATGGATAAAAAAGTGTATGTTATAACCGTGTTTTACAAAAAAATTAAGAGCAAAATCAAGAAAATTTACAAAAATGCATATTCTAATAAAAATATTTAAGATCGAACAGCATATGTACATTTATCTTAAAAACACAAGTCAACTCCATATTTTCCACATGAATGTGAAGACTGCGCATTAAGTGGTACCATCTGTACAGTAAATATTAAATAAAGGACAGAATTTTTTAAAAATAAATAAAGTCAGCTTTCTGAAATAAAGGTTGTCCTTTATGATAAGTTGTATGGTCACTGTATATAGAATATAACTATTCTTTGAATGACAATACTGAAATCAATCATCACAGAGATAACCAGATTTGTTTCAGTGAGGTGTTGCAACAATTCATTAAGTTGGGGAGAGGATGTGATTTTCATTATCAAATTGTTCTGCATCACCTATTCTTCCAGTTACTATAGATCTTCTAGAGAAGACCTCAGAAATGAGACAAATAAAGCAATGCAGCTAATTCACTTCTCTATCAGAACTAGGGGGAACATGTTATTTTATGAAGCAGGTATGAGGGATATTTTGCATGAACCAATACTGATGAAGCATGTTTGAAGTTTGGCATAGAAATACTGGATAATGGATAATCTTCCAATGATTATTCAAATGAAATATTTTATTTTATTAAGTTGTCTGTTTTTTATAAAACCTAATGCTCAAAAACCTGTTCAGGCATTATCTACTAAAATCATTTATATTGTTTTTGAATAATATATTTCACAGAGTCATAGCTTACTTGTCTATAGTAAATTTGACCCAAAATTGTTTAAATCTATTGTTGCAAGTTGCAGAAAATTTCTTGGAGCACTACATGAGGCCCATACAGTGGTGGTATCACAAATAATTCTATTCAGGAAATAACAACAATCAACACCTCTTCAACAAAATCATTGAAGTAACCCTGCTATGCCAAATCAGATCTGAGCAATATACTGTAGAAGAAATATTCCCAATTACAAATCAAAAATATCTGTACCTTGATTTTAGATCTGATTGTATGATGAGTCAATGTCAAGTCCAGTAGCTTTTTTTCTTCTATGGACTCAGAGACAGAGTTATTGGTAGTCTCTGCATCCCTGCTGCTACAACTCTCCAAACTACAGCTGTCTTCACTACGATAGTTCAGGAGTACACATTTTACCCCTCCTAGAATTGAAATTACAAGATTCATAAAATTATATAGTCTTTTTCTGGATAAAAATAATTTTGAATTGTTTACATTTAACTGAATTTCTTATTTGTGCAATCCCAAAGACATTGAATAAGTTACAATTTGTGTTAATTATTCCAGTTTAATCCTAGGCTATCAACTGCTTGTTTGAATAAATATACAGTGACTGTTTCTAGAATATTTAACATTTAAACAAGTTTAAAATCACTTGGAAATTCTCAGTCCACCCCTTGTAATATTTATTTTAGTATTGATCTTCAAGACTCTGGTGAAATGGCTTGAGATAATCACAAAGGACACAGGAGTGGAGATGGTACATTTGGTCAAGTCATTTAGGGATTTAAAATTTAAAACCACTCTTGGATGGAAACCAAGAAACAAAGGAAGTCAATACAGATAACAGATACACTGATAGCCCAGCTAATTTATAACTTGCTTTGTGTCTATCTGAAAGCATAATAAAACTGATCTGTTTTCTCTTTAAATCTGTGATATTGTCTTGTTCCAGAGCATGAGCCACACTTAAAAGCACAACATAGTCAAGATACAATTCAGCTGTCAGATTCAGTCAATGGTCAGAGTTTCTATATAAACTGTAAATGGCTTGGAGTCAAGGAAAAAGGTTAGACTATCAGAGCAATTGTTTCAGCATTTAATTAACCCTTAAACTTCCAAATAAAAAGAGCAGGTACTAATAAGCACTACTGCAAAAATTAAGTGATATAGGTATAATACCCTATTACCAAATTGAACAGTATTTCCAAGCTGCTGTTCCAAGCAGTCTCATATTCATTAGCTTCTCTGTCATTTGCTTTCCAAATCAATGGCAGACATTCCTGTAGACTGTAGGCTGGAGAGTCGGGCCTTGGAGAAAGATTCTGCCAATATCTCTACTGTAGGTCCTGACATCACCAGATCAGATTCCCAAAGCTCTTTGTTGAACCCCTGCTTTCCCTATTTCCCAGTCTTTTTCAGAAAAGGATGCACTTCACTATTGCGGATACTCATCATTCCTCCAAGAAATCTCTCACCATTTTCAGCATTATTGAGATAGTTTAGACGAGCAGTTTCCAAACTTTTTCAGTCATGGAATCCTTCAGAAGAATTTTTTCCCCAGACTTCCGGTTTGCCATCGTGGCATCACGGACGCTGGAACATGAGCTTCATCTTTCGCGTTCGAATTCGTCCCACTTGGGGACCGTGGAAAGGATCGAAAGTTGCCTGTAGGGGCAATGAGCAAGGAGAGGACCCCTGGTTGATCATGGGAGGGCAGCGGCCCTTCCATTTGATTCAGGGAAGCCCTCCAAACTAGTGGGGGAAAGACTGGCCATAGCAATATGGCTCATCACTAAGCTGCTGACAGCCGAAGTCAAAATCACCACCAAGCACCTTTAAAGCAACGCAGATGAAACTGGGTGAGATCTGATCCTCTCTTTAAGACTTTAAGTATTTTTTCCTGTAAAAGCTGCCCAAAGTATTTTCCCCCCTGTGAGGAGAGAGGAGAGGGAATTTCTACCCCACCCTCTAAGAAAAGTGGCAACTAACTACCCAGGGGAAACAGAGTAACTATAAGAACAATTTTAATCTAATTGGATGTGTATGCTTTTGAAACTTGGGGACTAAAAGTGTTCCTACTCTTACTGGAGATGTTTGCTTTTATTTAAAAAAAGAAATAAGACTTGAAAAACTATCATAAAAACTTTGGACTTAAAAAGCTTTAAACGGCGTCGGTGACATCTTGTGGCGAAGTATGGTATTACAATTTATTATTGCCTAAAAGAGACTTGGCTTGAAGCCCAGACTCCAGAAAAAAAATTCCTTGAACCTGACAGTTACTACCTATGAAAAACTCAGCTGCAAAGAAGGAACTTCTGGGTGGCATATCTGGCCTGTTTGAACTATGAATGTTCAAGTAATATTATAACTGAATACGTAAGATGTATAACAAGACTAATAGACTTTGGTATGAAAAGGGGGAAAGGGAGAAGTTGAGATAAGGGAAATTTTGGTCACTTAATATAAAATATTGGGAAATCAGTTGAAAATAAGAATTCTGTTTGCCCAATATGAGATGATAGATATTACCAGAAAAAGAGAGGGAGTATTTGAGCTTTTAAAAATTAGACCTAAACTAAAAAAAATTATGTATATTACTGATTTATTGGTTAACCCAGACAATACATATAATGGTTTTGATTTATTACAGGGGATACTGTATTATTAATTAGATGGTTTAATATGGTGGAAAAGAGATAACTTTTAGAAAAAGAATAAGACTATATTCAAATAGATAAGATGTGTATTTAGAATATTAGATTTTGTTATGAAAAGGGAAAAAGGAAGAAGTTGAGATAAGGGAAACTTGGTTACCTAAAGCTTGGAAATTATAAATACCAAATGTTAATTTGAATATTGATGGGAAATTAAAGCTTGGGAAAAAAGCAATAACAGGACATTGATTGTATATAAGGATTGAATGCAAACACAATTAAGATATGTATAAGCTAAAAATTATTGATAAATGTAACAAAGATGTTTTTTCTTAGTTGATAATAATTAGCCTAATATGAGATAGTAGATATTAAGGGGAAAAGAGAGGAAATATCTGATATTGTAACTTGATATTTATATTAAAGATTTATATATGTTATTGAACTATTGGTTAACCCAGTCACCATGTTGCTTTTTAAATACTTAATTGTAAAATTAGAAAATTAATAAAATATTATTTGAAAAAAGATTTTTTTTCCCCACAGACCCCTCATTCTGTCCTTGAGTTTTACTAAGCATTGTGAACCCACAACATTCTTCCTTCTTTCATCTGCTCCTATCGCTTGGGTGTTATGCATAATGTAGTAAATTTGGAAATAAAGAGAAAATATTTTAAATATAACCACAAATATTTATTTTGGTACAAGAAAACATTGGATTTATTCCTAATGTGATGAATGAAATTGTTTCATTTTTGTACTTAAAATAGTCTTGAAATTGGGTTTTATACATACAGCTGAATACATAACATGAAAATTCTCGCTCTTCATTTTTTCTCGCATCCTTCCTACTAATCCACTCTTTTCCCCGCACATTGAAGGTGCTCCATCTGTTGTGAATCCTATAAGTTTGTCCCAGGGCAGTTTCATATCATTTATATTTTTGGATACTGCTTCAAACATGTCCTTTCCAGTGGTAGTGCCATGCATTGATTTTATATCCAGAAGTTCCTCCGTAATGCTTAAACTTGAGTCCACTCCACGGATGAAGATTGTCAGCTGTGCTATGTCAGAGACGTCAGTGCTCTCATCCACAGCAAGAGAATAAGCAATAAATTCTTTTCCCTTTTCAACCAATTGTCCTTGTAAATCAGTGGCAAGCTCACATATCCAATCAACAACAGTATTTCTGCTTAGGCTTACATTCAAAAAAGCTTGCTTTTGGTCTGGACACAAGACTTCACACACTTAAATCATGCAGCACTTCAAAAACTCCCCCTCTGTAAATGGCCGGGCTGATTTAGCTATCTCTTCTGCCACTATAAAACTAACTTTCACAGCAGCTTTGCTTTGTGATTTTGCTTTTGTGAACATATGCTGCGGTGACATTAGGCTCTTTTTCAAGTCTTCTACCTTCTGTGCCTTCTGCTCCATGTTCACGTTTTTGTACTTATCCTGATGTTTCGTCTCATAGTGCCATCTCAAGTTATATTCTTTAAATACAGCCACAGTAGCTCCACAAACAAGGCAAACAGCCTTATCTTCAATGTCAACAAACAGGTACTCTGCCTCCCACCTCTTTTGAAAGCATCTTTTTTCAAAGTCCACTTTCCGTTTGGCCATTTTTTGGGGTTTAAATATCGGCACGCAGGTCTTCTTCCCTGCAGATGTATATATGGATGAGACTGGACAGAAAGCTCAAAGTCCCAGGTGCTGTGTGAGGCAAGCAGTTGTGAACATGCTAGGTATCCACTCTGGTGGCTCAGTAGGATGCTGCGAGTCCAGGTGTTTTGAGCAGCTTTAGCAACATCACAGCATCTATGGAGAGAAAGCGACTGCAGCCCTCTTTGATACAATTGAAATGATATATTTTATACAAGAGAGAGCCTGTATGGATGGAGGAAAAAAAAAAGCAATCCAAAGCTGATCTAGCAGCCACAAGGACTACTCGGCCTCTCTAGTTAAGCTACCTCCATTTCTGATCAGATTCTGATATTTTCAGGGCTGCCTTCCAGTCTCTGATTGCAGGGGGGGGGAATCAAGACATATCCAGCTTTCCCAAATAGGAAACAAGGAACCACTTGCTCCATCTTTTTCCAACAACTCTCCTATCTCCATGAAGCCCAGAAATAGAGCTCAAAATCCCTGAAATATCCATCCAAAATTTAGCTTTCGCAAGCAATGCTGGTTAGATCTCTCAGGGTCTGTTGGTCTGTCCTTTGGGGGAGACCCAAAGCACCCCTTCATCGACTTCCACGCATTTCCCACAAAGCCTCAGAGCATAATGAGGTTTGGGGACCCAGGGGGCAAAGAGATGGGGCTCATGGGGAAGGATGCCCATCAGGTGTTGAGTGCCAGTTGTTTAACATGTGTGGTGTGCCAATGAAGGGTTTTGGGCTTTGTGGCACTAGACCATGGAGCAAGGACTTCCCCTTTGTATTTTTAGTCCAGATCTTGGTAGTGGGGAATTCTGGGAATTGAAGTCCAGCCATCTTAAAGTTACAAAGATTGAGAGAGATGGGGCTCAAATATTGTATGTTTGCTGGGTTTTCAGTTTGTGGGGATACTTCCCCAGAATGAGATGGTCTTGGAGCACCCAAAGGAACAGGAGTCCCTCAGTCTCTCCTGCCTACATATCCTCCCCTTGCTTCCTAGCTGACAACACGTGCGGGGTTAAGGGCCAGAAGGCTGATGTTGCCGGCTCCTGGGCTGTGCCAGACTGGCCATTTGGTGAGGCTCACTGTCTCCAGAGCAGGGAGCAGCTG